GACATAGGTGAGCAGGTGTGCTCAGGCTGTAGTCAGTGTGAAGAGGCGGACACAAAGAGAGGCACAATGTCATAAAGCTGCGCATTGTAGAGAAAGCACAGGTGTAAGGTTACATCTAAGCCATTTTAAGGCAGAAAAGGGATTATTTTCACGGAAAAATACTTTTAAATATGTAGCTTTGATACACAGAGACGGGTTTCTTTTCTTCTCTTGGCGAGGGTCCCAGTAGCAGCAAGGTAAGGAGGGCATCCCATACATCCATGTGCCTCACAACATTTTCAAGTTGCTCCGGGGGATCCCAAGGTGTTCCCAGGCCAAATGAGATGTATAATCCCTCCACCAAGCTCTAGGTCTACTCTGGGGTCTCTTCCTAAAGATTGGTTTCTTTTAGGGGTTTAATCAGTAACTAGATTTGGATGTTGTTTCCTCCAGTGTGATTCCACAGAATACATTAAAAGTGTTTTTTCTATTGCCTGGTATTTGGTGTAGTGTAAAAGGAGTTCTACATCTGATTGCAGGCAGTCAGAACACTTTAAATGCCCATAAAATAAAGGAGGTGATGCTAATACATTGCAGGATTGTGCACACAGGAGGCTGTCAAGTTAGTTGTTTATGTGCCATTTCAAATCAGTAGCAAACACAGTCACTACCAGTAGCTACAGCAGCAACACACATAGTCACCTCATCATGAGCAAGTGTAAGATTGTTGATTATTGGTTAATCGTCCATCACTTTTCTGCCACTTTTTGTGGATCTAAGTCCCTGGCTACAGAAACCTCAAAAAGACAAAACTAGTCCCCGGTGCTGTTATTGGCTTTTGTTTCCAACTTTTAGCTGGAATTAAATGGCAGCAATTCTTGGAGAGTGGTCAGTGTTCTTTCAAGTGATCTTCCAGTAGATAGCAAGGTGTCCATGCCTGAGTAAAATCATGCTACGTTTTACATCTGCAGCAACTACTTTCAGTAATTGCTACAACCCCAACACACCTAGATGTGGGGTCCAGGTACTGAGCTGCTGGTTTGGTGTTTAGGAGGTCACAGGGAATATTAGCTTTTCCTGCCTGATAAGTCAGAATCTCTGTTATATAGATATACAGCTAACCCTGCTGTTTGGTGACATCATGGCATTCCCAGCATAGCTCCACTCAACTTCCTCCTCAGAACAGGTCTGTTCAGGTTGAAGCACCTGTGTGACTTTGTAGGCCTTTATCAGAGTTGTGCAGCTTTTAAGAGTCTAAACATGTATTTGTAATTTTTCATAGCAGATGCTGAGCTTATGATGTGAGGCTTTGTGATGTAGGCATTTGTACTTTGTCTTATTGTTTCAGTGAGAATCATGACCGACCATCATTCAATCTTCCGGTGACATTTCTGCATTGATTTTGGCCTCCATGTTTCGACAATGAGCTGCTCACATTAATCAACTCCCCACTCTTCTTTTTTTTGTATATGTTTCCTGTTTTTGGCTTCTTTCCCAGGCCTGATTGTTGGTGTGATCTTGCGTTATGGCATTCACGTTCCTCGGGACATCAGCAATGTCACGATGAGCTGCCACGTCAATGCCAGCCCCGCCACCCTGCTGGTCAACATCAGCGGCAAATTCTTCGAATACACTTTAAAGGGGGAGATCAGTGCCAACGAGGTGAACGACGTGCAGGATAATGAGATGCTACGCAAGGTAGAGGCCATTGATTTATTATTTGAAATGTGATCACAAGGGGGTGTATTAATTGCTGAATTAAATGATGACTGAATTGTAAGTTTCTAGATATCTTTCTACAGTCTTCACTACTTCTGCTGTTCATGTTGTAACTTGAAATACTAAGAAGAAACAGTCAGCTGATTAAATGATTTGACAATCAACATAAAATTAATCAGCAATCAGTTATTTTTAACTGAACGATACTAACTGGTCGAATGTGAGAACACTGCTGCTCGGAGAAAACATGCAGTTTGTAGTAACTTTGGCATCTGGAAAATTTTATTACACACTTTATACTTCTGTCATTTTACAAACAAAATTATTTACAAGAAATTTGTAATAATAATTAGTAGTTTTTGCCTGAATTAGATGTCATTTGTGACACATTAAATAGTTGTTCTATTTTTAGAGATGAATAAACAAGCTATGCAATCTAAAGCCTGTTAAGGAAGTTCTGCACAACTGGTTCCGTATAATAAGAAAGGCTTATTACTGCTATTAAAATAAAGGTCAGGATGCAACTCTAAGTAGTGAGAGACACTGTAATGGTGCCTGTTGTACACTGATCATGTGTGGAGAATCATCTGATGCCCTAAAAGTTTCCAGCTAAATAGCTTTGCAGTTACATGTTCTGTTCTTAAGAAATCCAAACCACAATACCAGCAAAAAGTCAGCCACCAGCTACATAGGTGGGTTTGTCACATATTGAAACCACATATAGACACATTTTAATCTAGTTTCACATCTAGAAATGGTGTTAGCCTGAGTGTGTTTGGATCTCTGTGCAAAGAAGTGGCCCCTTCTTTTTTCTCCACTTTGTCATTTTATTATTATAGAACCTTCCTGTTGATTGTCCTGGAAGCTGCTTCATGATGTCCCAGATGTGTCACTCTTGATGAATTAATTTATCTAAATAACACAGCAGCTGAGTAATATCCATGAAAACAATTAATTTTGTTTGTTTGTTTCTTCCCTAAATCCTTAAATCTTGTGGATTTTTTTTTTTTCTTGCTTCAGGTGACCTTCGATCCTGAAGTGTTCTTCAATATTCTCCTACCGCCAATCATCTTTCATGCAGGCTACAGCTTGAAAAGGGTACAGTACTATTCCAGGCACTCTTTCTGCTGTTGCTAAAAAAAAAGACAATCTCAGTCCTTACAAAGTAAAAAGAACTTTTAGCATCTCTTTGATTAATGTCTTATTTTTAATATGAAATGTAAATGTCCTCGTCACACCTGCTGAGACTTCAGTAGTTGTTTGTATTTAATAAGATGATTGTAAGTATGTAGGTGATTGTTAATCTGGTCAACTGTTTTGTGTTTCAGAGGCATTTTTTCCGTAACATGGGATCCATCCTGGCTTATGCCTTTCTGGGGACAGTGATTTCATGCTTTATTATTGGGTAAGAAGAACTTTAATTTGATACAAAGCATCTATACATTCAGTCAGTGTTGTTTATGGGAAACCTCCTGCTGCTCCTCCGTCAGGTTGCTGATGTACGGCTGTGTGACGCTGATGAAGCATGTGGGGCAGCTGAGTGGCGACTTCTTCTTCACCGATTGTCTGTTTTTTGGGGCCATCGTCTCTGCCACCGACCCTGGTATTTATGCTTAATCTCAGACTTCAAAGTTTGCTTGCTAACAGGTTGCCCTAATTCTAAACATGTTTCACATTAAGCTCTTAACCAGCTCAAAACCTTTTGTACAAATTCTGCTTAATAATACAAACAGCGTATCCGAAAACTTCAGACTTGCATATGGTTGCATACAGCATACGAAGTATACCCATGTTTTAATCAGTGAACCTCATTTCAAGGATGCTATTTTTATAAGTCCAGCTGAGATGGAGAAGTGATCCATATCTGGGAGAAAGTTGGGAAAAAGATGTGGTAAAAGGGGAGTTGGATCACAGCTCAGAAAGTGCAAATATAGTTTAATAAATACACAACATTTTTGCATAAAATTGTCTCTTATTTAAATTCCAGCTCAACAATTTTATTAACATCTATCAGTGCAAGCCTTCTGTTTTTTGTACCTGCATATTGTAGCTGTTCTTGCAGAAAAGAAAAAAATCTTTTCTCTTAACTGCCAAAATACAGCTCCATCATTCTGTATAGTAAAGACTTGGAGCACAGCTCTTGACACCTACTCAGATCTCTCTCTGTGACATGTATGATTATTTGGGTCACTTCTAATATGAAGGGAATAAAAGAGGAACTGAGAGTGTTTCTCTTTGTTCCACAGTGACAGTCCTGGCTATCTTCAATGAGCTGCAGGTAGACGTGGATCTGTACGCGTTGCTGTTCGGAGAGAGCGTGCTCAACGATGCCGTGGCCGTGGTTCTGTCCTCGTAAGTCACCCGTCTTGGTGCAGTCGCGCTCACGTCATTAATCTCCGCCTGCCCTCGGCTGTGTTCAGTGTGCACAAAGCTGTACAGTCACAGGTTTATATGAAAGAAAGTGTGAGTCATGCGTTGTTTGTCGATTGAACTGACCTGATATCAGCTTCACATGAATGCCTTGCTGAGCTTGAAGTGGAAGCTAATGCTCAGTTTTTGTTCTCCTCCTCTACGTAAAACTGTTGTAATGTCCACAGAATTGTACATTATAATAGCGGGCAGAGTGGAGGCTCCGGGCGCTGTGGAGAGACTCTGACCAGCCCATTGAACGGGTGCACTAAGTAGAGCATGGCATTGTGTGCTTTTGCGGTGCCTTGGGACAAACATGACAAATCACCGGCCATTTGTTTTTAGACTCTGCGTTATTCAACCAGAGATGCAGAACATTGCATTATTTATTCATTTATTTTAGCTTTCTTTTTTTGTGAACTTACTTTGATATTGTGAGTCAGCTAAGAACACATTCCTATTATCTCTGAAGTCGCTGTGTGAGCCGAGGAGAAGGCAGAATGCCAGGAATGCTTATAACCTAAAAGCCTGGTGATTTGTTCTGTGAATGTGGGGGGGCTGTGAATGGAGACCGTGAACAAATCTGATTTCAGAGTCATACTTGGTTCAAATAGCATCTGAATTTCCTATTTAGAAAAGGTAGTAGGCAACTTTCGTCACACTTTATCGCCAAAGCACCTCAAGAAGATATTTTAAAGACTATTTTTAAGTTGCTTTCTCTTACTGACAATCACCCTGCTAAATTTTAAATAACCTTCTCATCCCAGATTGCAGTTTAACACCTGGAAACTAAATAAAGCTATTTGGTCCAAGTTTGCTGAGAATACTGTGCTTTTGTTTTGACTGTGACTTTACTGGGATAGTTCAGTGTTGATACTCGACTACCAGGTGACACAAAGTTGACGTTTAGTGTCAGTTTTCCTCTATTTTCATGAAAAAGGTTAAAATTGTTGTACATTTGGCTCACTGAAAACATTTTAATCACATGTAGTGTTTTCTGTCCATTTCAAAAGCAGATTTAAATAAAGTAACTCTAAATTTAGAGTAAATGACCAAGGGTAGAAAAACTGTTTTTTTTGGTCTTGCACCTTGAATTTCTATTTAACAGCATGTAATGATTCACTGCTGAGTGAAAACAAGTACCTCTCTTGTTAGCGAAAACAGTTCTGGTTTGCTTTGGTTATCTATTATTCCACCCCTGTGCAGGATGCATGGGAAAATGCGAAAAGAAATCTTGACCTCAGTGAAAACATGCCTGCATTTACACATTTTAAAGAGTACAGTACATGTCTGTCCTTGTTTCCACACTGCAAGACGACTTTAGTAGACTTTTAATTGAGCCACATGGTTTCAAGTCGAGTATTAACACTGAACTATCCAAGTAACGCTCTTTTTTTCTTTATCAGTTCCCTTTAAAAGTTTACTTAAGGTGCTGATTTTGCTGTGAAACTCTCTCTGCCGTATACAAACAGACCTACTGTAGTGGAAGAATATACAGTTGTGAGCTGGAATGTTTGCCTGATAAGACGACTGTCAACAGTACATGTTAGTCAGTTCCATCATATTCAGATCAACGCTATGTTCTGAATGCAGGCTTTAACTTCTATTTAATACACTGTATAGTTCTATAAACATACTGTCAGTGGTTATTTTTGTCAGTGTGTGCCGTGGTTTACACTCTTTTCACATGTTGCACAAATACTTGGCATTAAATGTTTGGATCTTTTGTTCAGCTCTATTGTAGCGTACCAGCCAGAAGGAGACAACAGCCACACCTTTGAGGTCATGGCGATGCTCAAGTCTTTTGGGGTTTTTCTTGGAGTTTTCAGCGGCTCTTTTGCCCTGGGAGTGGCCACCGGAGTCGTCACCGCTCTCATATCCTTTCTGCTCTCTTATTCTGTCTGCTTATATAGAAAAAATATTTTCTTGTAGTCTATTAATTTGATTCGTCCACGTACTGTAGCATGTCTACATGACAGGACCGCGTTAAATGTTTAATTATTTACTCAGTTATGCTGAAGCTAATATGTTTGATAAATTGGTTTGTGTGAAATACCACAGTGCAAAATTATCATGACTAATTTAATTAAAAGTGAGTCGTACAACCTTGTTTGTAAAATGATGTAGGAAAAAATTAAGATAGAAGTTATTAGATAATGGAACGACGACAGTTGGTTCATTAGAAGCTGCCAGTCAGTGTAAGACTTCACACTGCAACAAATTAAATGATCTTCATTGGGTAGCTTTTTGTTTTGTTTTTTCAATTCAATAATTTTATTTAAAAAAAAAGATGTATATGCTATGGTTAAATCATTTGTAAAGGTTTAATATTAATTAGTTTAACGGTATCTTAGTATCTTATTAAATTCCCTGACTTCGTCTCTACGTGACTAAGTTTACCAAACTGAGGGATTTCCAGCTGCTGGAGACGGCTCTGTTCTTCCTCATGTCGTGGAGCACATTCCTGCTGGCTGAGGCTTGTGGCTTCACAGGTAACACACACACACACACACACACACACACACTCAAGATAATAATGTGATACTGTAATTTCATGTAATGCTATTTTATTTAAAAGGATCAGATTTTATTCAGTTAAAAAATTTGGATTAGTAATTTGGATCCATGATTGTGTGCAGCTGGAGGACTTCTGCTCCTCCTGTTGTGTTTTTTAGCAAAAGCACAGCTGAAGAGTTCCTGCAAGAGCAAATAAAATATTCCTGTGAGCATCAGACAAGCATAACTGTACTGCTAATGCATCATGTCGTGCTAATCGGTGTTTATCGATCTTCTGTCTGTCCCTGTCCCTTCCGGCCGTGTTGCAGGTGTGGTGGCAGTGCTCTTCTGTGGGATCACTCAGGCTCACTACACCTTCAACAACTTGTCTCCCGAGTCCCAGGACAGAACCAAGCAGGTCAGACCCGGACCAGAACCACACAGCTGCTCATTCTGTACTTTTTCATTATGCTTCAAATATAGAGTCATGTTTGTGCCTTTAATTTGAATTTATTTTAAAAGTCAGTTAAACAGTTAAAGCAGGTCATATTATGAATAAAACTGTCTGCCAGTTTACTATAATATGGTTTATGAATGGGTTTGTTGGCAGATCACAGTGTGTTAGTATTTATTGTCAGCGACGTTCACTGCTGCTGTGATAATGTCACAATAAAAGCTCTCTTCATCAGAGTGCACACAAGAAAAACAGAGTCAAATGTATCTGAACGCAGGGGGGGAAGTACAATTGATTAATAGAAAAATAAACAAGGCACAAGGGCATTAGTAAACCCAATTCTAAATGTTTCCGAAACATTTTTTTCTTCCTTCATGCATAAAACAAAGTAGCTGCATTTATATGTGAGTTAAAGTTTTAATTTTTAGGGTTTTATTGCAGTCAGCGCCATGCAAGCCATTAAGTCTGAACTGTATTTCTTGGTAAATGTAATTTTCTACAATTATCACTGAGGTTGTTGTCATCTGAAGCAGTTAATGTTGTTTCTCTTGTCTTGCAGCTGTTTGAGCTGCTGAATTTCCTGGCAGAGAACTTCATCTTCTCCTACATGGGTCTGACCCTGTTCACCTTCCAGAACCACGTCTTCAATCCGATGTTCATCATCGGAGCTTTTGTATCTTTTTCACACGAACCGACCTGGTGCACAAAAAGCCTGTTAACACTCTTGCTTGATCACATAAGCGGCCATTTACACAGCCATGTCGGTATCATTGTGGGAACATGGAACTACGCCACTAATTTCTACACTTTGCAGTTGCCAAAGAAAAAAAGATCCAGCAGGAGTAGAACTAATCCCCGAGATGCAAATGTTTTTTGATTTGTGGGGCAGTAATGAGCTTCACGCAGCGTGAGGAGGATTTGCTTTTTGTTTCGTTGTTCCCCTTAACCTCCTTACCACACAGATAGCGGTGTTCCTGGGAAGAGCTGCTAATATCTACCCTCTCTCCTTCCTTCTGAATCTGGGACGACGCAACAAGATCAGATCCAACTTCCAGCACATGATGATGTTTGCGGGTTAGTGGTGTGCAGACGAGGGTGTTTATCACACACTGTATATCCTACTGACATAAAACACTGAGTCAACAACAGGACATTACAAGGAAATAAAACTTTTGTGGCCCGTTCACGCTCTGGAACATTTTTTTTTGTAGCCCGGTGTGAGCAGAATAAATGATAACCAACAGAAGCCTATAAACAGAGATGACTGCATTTGTCTCATCTGGATGCAACATCCTCTGTGCTCTGCTTTTTAGGACTGCGAGGCGCGATGACCTTTGCCCTCTCCATCAGGGACACCGCCACGTACGCCCGTCAGATGATGTTTACCACCACTCTGCTCGTGGTGTTCTTCACTGTTTGGTTTTGTGGAGGTGGCACCACACAGATGCTGTCCTGCCAGCGCATACGGTATCTCTCTCCTTCCCCCCTCGTCATATCCGCTCATGAGTCAAACTGAATTAGTTGTTAGCAGCAGTTTTGCTTTAACTCTGATGGGCTTTGACACATGAGAGGAGTTCACATAAGGTCAGGTAGGCTGTTTTTTTTCCTAATGCTTCTCTCTAATTGTGTAGACGTTACTGTTCCCATGTTTAACTCTTCTGGTTATCTTTGTCAAGTTTAAACTCCATGAATTATTGAACATAACCTTCAGCCCTGACCTAGTTTACTGTTGAGGCTTTGTATATGCAGCATTCCTGCTTTTTCATGGGACCTTGCAGTTCAGGAGCTTGTAAAACATGAGAAACATGCTTCACAGCACCGTTCTGCTCTGACAGCTTTTACTGTGGCTGATTTGCATATGTTTCATTCTTTCAACAGTGTGGGAGTGGACTCTGATCAAGACAACTCTGTAAGTGTGGGGTTACGATAATGCAATTGGTGGGCAATGACTGTTCAGGAAAAACAATGCCTAAATGACATTTATAATCTGTCTTTGTCCAGATGAGTATCGCTGAAGGCTCAGAGAGAAGAAGCACCAAACAAGAAAGTGCCTGGCTTTTCAGAATTTGGTACAACTTTGACCACAAGTATCCTTTGCTGACGAATGAGTCGTTGTTTTTTTATTTATCAATGTCATAAACATCATTATTTTCATTTTATCTACGCCTACACTACTATCCAAGTGTTCCAGTTCAGTGGTGACTCCTTTAGTACATATAACCAGGCAGCAGAGGGAGCCCCGCTTATAGACTTGATGGCGAATTATCTCCTCTGTTGGCTCTGTGGTATGAAGGTCATTCAGTTTTATGCATTTTAAGTTATTTACCCAATTAAATCACTTTAGTTTTTAATCATTTTTCCCTCTTTGCCGAGTGTTCATTAAGCATTCATCACACTGTCCTGGGGTCTTTCTGTTTGTTGTGTCTAATAGCAGTTTATTTTCTGTGTAACGTGACCTTGACTCAAGCCCCCTCCTTCAGCTACCTGAAGCCCATCCTGACTCACAGCGGCCCCCCCCTCACAGCCACGCTGCCTCCCTGCTGCGGCCCTCTCGCCCGTTTCCTCACCAGCCCTCAGGCCTATGAGGTCAGACGCTGCTTCATTCAGGAGCTATTTCAGACTGAACTGTGTTTCTCTTTTATCATGTACGAACAGACTGGGGGAAAAAAAAGTTGCTTTGTGAGAGATGAAGTGAATCATGAAGTGCAGAAGTTAAGTTTCAAACTAAATATATTGTTTCATTGGCCATCTGCATGGGTAGAAAATGGATTTAATAACTAGTTATGGAGTATTAAAGTCACATCCTCTGCTTTTTGTTCTTGTGGCATCTATCCTCCTCCCCCAGAATGAGTGCCAGCTGAAGGATGACGACTCCGACCTCATCCTGACAGATGGTGACATCAACCTGACCTACGGCGACATTACAGTCAGCACAGACGCCACAGGTGCCCACACGAGCGGCGGCCCAGCCTTTGCTGGCGCCGCCACCTCGGATGACTTGGACAGGGAGCTGGCATACGGAGATCACGAGCTGGTGATGAGGGGCACGCGCCTGGTGCTGCCTATGGATGACTCAGAGCCGCCCTTTCCAGACCCCCACCACCGCTTGAGGATGTGAAAATAGCCTCCGAGTGCCGACCCAGACGACCGTCCGACTCACACTGACCCGAGCCATTGAGCAAAAGACCAGTACCTGACTCTCCTTCTTTCACTCCTCTACGTTTGATTTCTTTTGCTCTTGCACTTAGCCTCATCCTTGCCTTTTTATTCCTTTACATGTTGATCACTGTTACATTTTCTCACCTCCTCTATAGACAAATCACTCTCTCTACCTCATTCTCTCTCTGCTCATTTCCACTCCTTTCTGCCATTACTGTAATATAGTCGTATTTATTTTCAGGGTTTTTTGGTATTCAACTGAAAGTTTTTTTTCTTAGTTTGGCTTAAATATGTGTCAGTCACCTTACTGTAGCATTGCACAGAGGTCTAGCAGCATGTGTTAGTGTGTAAATGCAAGTACCAACCACTAGCTAATTTGTCGATGTACAGTATATACCAAGAGTACTATAACTTTGATATGCATGCTGAGGATGCTTGTTGTTTTCTTTGTATGGGAGGTTGAGGGCTTTTGTGTTTTGGGTCTGACCTTGAATGTTGCTGCCTTCTCTCTGTGCATCAGAGGCAAGCTGACCCAGTGGACAACTTTACTGTACATTTGGTTACAATCAAGTGCCTGGGAATTGTAGTTTTAAGCATGACGACCCAGTAGTGAATCAGCTCTGGGCAGCAGAGCCGATCCACGATGGACAGTCATTCAGTTTTCATTTGTAAAAAAAAAAAAGAAGAAAAAAGTAATAATAATTCTAAAAACAAAAATAGACATCTCTGTCCATAAGGTAGCAATATACTCAGTGGGCTGTCGGTTTGTGCTATTCGCTTGTACATAGTGTGTAACAATGTGATGCCACTGATGCAGTGCAACCTGGCAGTGAACGTCGTGGATCTCTCCCAGTGACCTTTGACTGTGACATAGAGAGAGACTTTACACCTTATTTTAGAAGCTGATGTCGCTCACAGCAGAATGAAGGGCTGTTGTTTTGAAAACGAGATCCAAAAGAGTCAAAGTGAGAAAGCTTAGTGCCATTTCTGTCCTGCATTTTAACATTTTCTGAGAACTGAATGCAGAGGACCTTAAAGTGTTTTGTATTCTTTTTTGCAACAGAGCTTAAGTACTTTAAGCCGAATCACGTTTTTCATATCCATTTAGCTTGGTGCACACATTTTCTATTACAGCTGTTACACCGATGACTATGAATCCTATTTTTCTCATTAAATGAATCTGAAGAACACATATAAGTATGTGAATTTGAAGCTAAAAGAACTTAGTATGAAGCACACAAGTGATTTTGTGAGTAGAAGTTTGGCAAATAAGATTGTTGCTGGTTTTAGCAGGGCTGCAACCAGTGACTATTTTCATTATTCATTAAGCTGCCAGCTATTTCATGATTAATTGATTAATCATTTTGTCTATGAAACGTCGTACAATAGGGAACAAAACCCATCACGATCTCCCAGTAACCTGACATATTTTAGCGTCTTGGTTTATCTGATGAGCAGCTGAAAACTGAAAGATATTCTCTTTACAATCTGAGGAACTGGAGAGTTTTGTACACTTAAATGATTAATCTATTATCAAACTTCTTGCAGATTCACTTTTGACTGAGTAATTAACTGATGCAGCCTTAGATTTTATACAATGAGTACGATAAAATCATTTGCGTAAGACAAGCCCACCTGATTATTATTCTAATGAATCCATCCCTAATATGAGCAGATTTTTACACTGGTACTGTGGGAGTTCATCATTATGAGAACTGCCAGAGTAGAACAACAATCGTTGTTTATATGCTGGATGTTTTTTTTCTTTGCTGTACACACACGGGTTCTTGAGGTTTGATGGTTAAGCAGGAGTTTAGTAGCGTTAAGGTGCATAAAAATACCAACTATTAAAGAGTGCTCCTGCCAGGATGTGTTAGCAGCGTACTCTGCAGAGGTTATTTTGGTACATGTGCAAGAAGAACGGATGGTTTTGTAGCAGCTGTTAATGCGGGTTTAACAGGAAGCGTTGATAGGATGTCACCGTGGCAACACTGTGTTGATGTGGACAGAAAACATTTGGTGACTTAGCTGAACACAACAATTTTGTGTTTTGGCCTCTTAGTGACCCAAAGAAAAAAAAAAGATTGGGTGTATGCAGAATGGATAGGAGATGATGATGACGAAGATGTTTAAAGAAAAGCATTAGAGGACGAGAGGAGAGGGAGGTGGACAAGGGAGGATAGTTAGGCCTGTGTTTGTGTGAGTGTTCGTGTGCCGGGGATGACACAGAGGTGGAAGGAAGATGTCGCTTTTCCTTCCGTAGTTATCTTCTGCTGTGCAGGAGCTTCTAATTTAAATGCTTTTTTAATCAGGCATTCCTCTTGGCACCACATGATCTTCAATATGATTTATTATTTCCACAATTTTGTAACTTTTTTTTGTTTGTGTTATTGAATATTTTTTTGGAGGAAGTGAGGTAATGAAGTAAAGAAAAAAGCTGAATCATTTGCACTCATCTATTGAGAATGTTGTGATGTTTTATTGTTTGCTTGTTTTATCTAACAGCTGCTTTTATATTATTTTGCATATGTTTTGGAAGGTTGTGGGGAAAATTAGCAAATTTGTGGCAGTTCGATGAAATATAAAGTTAAGTTGGTTCATTATGTTCGACATAAAGAAATATTTCACTTGGCGGTGGCAGTCGAGCTGTTAAAAGTCCTTTCATACCGTTGCTTCATCTTATCACTTGACCATTCAGGTACTTTGTATGTGTGTTTGCAACAAGTTGCTGTATTTGAGGCGGTTGCCATGACGTCTGCAGAGCATGAATCATTCATCGTCCGCTGACGGTGGACCCTGTGGGGGGAAAAAAAAAAGTTAAATATATACAAGCAGAATTGTGTGCCACTGTTCTTTAACTGACACATTAAAAAAAAAATAAAATGAAATCCGCAAATGGTGAAATAGGTTTTGATGTTTGCCTACTGCTCTGCCAGTATGTGTTTCTGTCTCTGTTCTCTGAATGGTGACTCGTGATAAGCTTTGATCATTGGAGATCTTGTCTGAAGTAGCTGACCAAAGAGGCCTGCTGTGCTCTGTGCTTTCAGACCGTCCTCTCTATCTTTATACTGCAAACTCTCTGTCCGAATGTGTGTGTGTGTGTTAATGCCTGCAAGTGTATATGGATGGATGTACTAGTGTGTGTGCGTGCGTGTGTGTGTGTGTGTATAAGAGAGAGAGACATTGTGTCGTCTCTTCTCCTCTGTGTTGCAGGTACTGACTGTTTACATCTGTGTAAATATACTCTCACCTGTTCATGTGCGTGCAATGGACAATAAACAGAAGCCTGTGCTTTTGATTAAAGCCCTCGCTGTAATGGCCTCCTCATTTACCTTGTTTGCTTTTTTTATTTCATGTCTGGCTTGTGTGAGAACATAGCTGTTGAGCTCCAGAAGATCATCCCGTCTGCAAGAAACATGAAACAAGATTAGTGCCAGAGGTGATTTCATTTGAGGTGCATAAATCTGAGAAGGGATTTTCTTATAATGCTTAAAATAGGTTTATAATCATAATAGCCGTGCAAGTATGGCAGGTAGCCTACAGGCTTTAAATGTTCAAATATTTAAGAGTGCATGGGGATAAAGTCAGCTTCAGGCTGGGTGCTGCCTGACTCTGGTCAGGAGTAGATTTAACAGTCAGAATAAAAAATGATGGAATTCACATTCCCAAGTGAGGGATCAGGGTTACAAGATGGTTAACATGAAAGGAATTAAGAAAAAATATAGAGTGCTTCTGCCACAGAAATGAGTTTTTATCAGACTTTTGTCTTTGTTTGTTTGTCCTTTAAGCCACTACAAGGCTTCGTTTCATTTATTTATGCATCTGACAGGAGCAGGGTTCATAGATCAACAGAAAAAGTCTTGTAAACGAGCCAAAGTTATCCCAATAGGCTAACTTTTGTCTAATCTCCCTGATCTGTTCATAAAACAGCAACAGCAATAAAAGTTTAGTTGAACGTTTTGCAGCTTTTAGACACATGCAGCCTGTTACAAGGAACTGAAAGGAAACCTTGCTTCATTTTAGGGAGTCACAAGCCTAAATTCGTAATTCTGGAATTTTAAAATGTCTGTTTTATGATTTGTTTTCCCTTTTTGACTCATTTTATGGACCTGTGAATAAAAGTGTGTGTCAAAGATTTCTTAAGTTAAATCTGAGGCAAAGTTTTCTGTTCTGACTTGTTCTGACTGTGCGATGTGAAAATAGTTGACTATTTCTAATGTTGCATTTACTCAGACAACAGATTTTTTTTTTTTTTTAAATCGAAATAGGAGATTTGATCCATTACCCACAGTGTTATTAGTCGTCTCATGTAATCCATGATGTTCACTGATGTCACTTTCACGTGTCAAAAGGAAAATGGTGTGAATGTGAAATCTGCTGCCGAGACTGATGGCACTTCGTACGCCTGGGCACCATTTGTGCCAAATATCAGGTATCATGTTCCTAATATGGGCACAACTCCCTCCAGTCTGCTCAAGAATGTCTGTATGGTGGAGTCCAGGGAGGAAATGGTAATTTTAAAGGGCCACTTCGCTCAGGCTTGAGTAGAGCTCCATGTCTCTAAAACTAAACAGTCTATTTAAACTTGATTTCCACTCATTCAACACAAGCACAGAGATTTTAGATTTTTTTATGACAAACTCCTCAGTAATTCTTCCTCAAAGTGATGTTTTATTGCCATAAGTCAAGCTAGCTGTATAATCATCTTAAATCAAGCACTAAGTCTTTGTCTGTCTTGTTCTGTACATCCTCTGTCATGTTTTATCTGATGTATTTATTACAACCTGTAAAGTGTTCAAGACTTCTGGTTTGTTTCGTGAACAAGTGACTATTAAAGTGACTATCTGCCTTCACATTGTCCAGAGGGAGCTGCACAGACCAAAGGCATGGTTCTCCTCAACGCTGATCTCATGTCACAACAGTTGTGATGATGTTTGTTCATTACACCAGCAGCTCGGCTCTGTGTTTACACTGATGTGATGGCTTTTTAAAGTGGTTAAGAAGAACTTGTTGTTGCAACATGGTGAAAACGGAGCTGTGTGAATGAAGCTGTACCTTCCCCTGACGTTTGAGTAACCCTGACAGCTTTAAACACAACAGAGGGGACCTCCTGACCTTAAAATCCTCCCTTCATGTCTTCACTCTGACCGTACAGACAAATGGGTCATCACACAGACTGGGAGGTCAGATGTTTGTCTCAGGGCACTTTGGATGTAATTCAAACAATGATGCAAAATAAGTCTGCTGATTTACAATCTGGAACACCTTTTGAGAATCAATTTGTAATGAATTAGCCTTTAGGGTTGAGCCTGCAGCTTGCATGTATTTACTTCTGGTGAAGAATGAGTCATCTTGATGTAATTCCCCTACTCATTACCAAAGAAGGAGACGAGTGAAGCCAGTACAGAAGCAGGACAAAAGTGTGTCAACTTAACAAGTCAGTTCATCTTTTTTCTAAACAGCAGAAACGCTGAAAGAAAAAGAGATGTCCTGAGCGGATATTCCTGCAGAGCAGACCTGCCTCTGGCACAAACTGCTAACTGTTAAGTCTCAGCGCTCGCTGATGCAGAAAAGTTAGGACTTTATTTTCCTCATGATTCCCTTCGCCTCGAGTGCAGGGCCAGTGAGAACTTCTCTAAGAGATCTTGTAAATTCCTGGTTGAGGTCATTGTTTATGAGAGCTTACAGAGGTTTGGCTCATGTCCTGTAGTTTTTCTTTCTTTTCTTTTTTTTCCTGCTCCCTCCGTCTTTTAAAAGCTGCGTCGCCTCCGCGCATTTTTACCTCTCAGCCAAACCCACCGGACACGCTGCTGGTGCGCAGTGAAAGGCGCTCATCTGTCCGCTCTGCAGAGGTGAGTCCAAACCACAGCCGTGTTCAAGGCGGATTATCAGGCAGCTGCTCGGTTCATTTTAGGTGATATAAAGCGACAGAAGAAGTTTATCACCGGGCTGTCATTTGGTCCTTTTAGGAACAGTTATGTAAAGTGCGTAATTGCGCATGGACATTTCCGACATAATTTGGATCAATTGCGCCGAGGGTCTTTACCAACGACAATAAACGAAATGTGTGACAGATTTGTTTGGATTCACCTGACCAGTTTGGGCAAAAGTGGCATGAGCGCGCAACAGGTGATGCGATGCGTTTGGCGCAAAAGTCTACATCTCTAAATTTCAACTCCACATGTTCATGTTTTTAATGCTTTATGAAGCAAATTGTTATTTTTTAAGAGTGAGACTACGTCCGTGAGTGGTTCTTATTGTCAGAGATTTCCTTTTAAAGTGAAACACTGGTGTTAATAACCAAGTGTGTAGACAATTTTGGGGAGCTTTTGGGGTGCAAGACCAAAAGAAAGAAGAAAAAAGTCAAGATGATGACTGTCAAGGAAAATCTTCTTTATTTCTGACATATCTGTCTACATACTAAATAAAGGAGGTAGGCACCATCATAATCCAGTATGTCATGTAACCAAATGCCTTATCATGTTAAGTTTTGTTGACTCTTTATCAGGGATGTGTTTAATTAACTCCGTGGTCATTTTGGAGGTTATAGTTATTAGAGTTGTGGTATTGACATGTGCTTTATTTAATATTTTGACCTCTCCTCCCTCATACATGATGTCTACATATAGCCCACGCAATGTCGTGTCCTCCAGTGCGAACAGGTTGCTATTTATCCTGCAGATGACACGGTGGTGTTCTGGTATTCATGTCCTACAGAAAAGCTTTCTGTCTGGCTAATGAACAGTAGAGCCCAAAGCTCTGCCATGCATGGCTTCAAACTGTTAAAACATACATCTCCTCCCTTCTGGTTTGAGCAGCTGCCAAACCAAATGCATGATGTCATTAAAGAGACCTGGAGATTACAGCTCTTTCTCTGGCACACCGGACCTCCTTGTGGCTCCAATATGACTTCAACATCTTTCAAAACCCAGAAAAAAAGTTTCACTCAGTGATACATTAACCCACTTTCAACTCGAAAACACCCTCTTTTTTTTCCTTTCAGTGATTTATAAATCCCTGTAAAGACTGTAATATGTGTCTCAAGTATCAAGTCTTTTTCACTACGAAAGTTTAACATCCGCATAAAAGCAGTGTACAATTTCAGCAGCACAGTTACTGATTATGCATTCATAAAGTCTGCTATGTGGTGTATAATTTACATCACCCTTCAATGGGAGCTGTTGTATGTCAGTGCCTGTGAGGTCGCCTCTCCATTAGACTGGCAGCGGGACATCTGCCATGCTGAGGCGGCTGGGGGGGGGAGAGGCTTTTGGTGCATGTTGAGGAGACAGTTTCATCATTTCTTTTATTATTGCAAATGGAGCACAGAGGAAGAGAGAGAGAGAGAGAGGGATGTGCCCGGGTACAGATGACCACGTTGATGAAACACATGAAACAGCGCTCACACCAGCCCTGCACAAGACTCCTAAATAGGCAATGCTGCTTTTGTGTGTGTCTGTGAGGGCTGAGAGGAGGAAATATCCTCCTCCTCTTCAGAAAAAAAAAAAAAAACTTAAGCTGAATGCATATGATCACTTAATGAATAAAAGAGAAGGAAGAAAGAAATGAGGAGAGAGTCACAGCAAGAGGGCTGCGGGATGCTTAATGTAAGATATTTAATAAGAAAAGAAGTCAGTGTGTTCGTGATTGTGTGCAGCGGAGGAAGAAGTAATCACATCCTTTTAGTCCACCAGGAAAACACCAGTGAAAATTTACTCTGTTACACATAATAGTCTCGCATTGTGTTGAGCTGTCGTTACGTAAAATGAGTCCATTCAGAGTCAAATGGGGTATTATCACCAAAACAATGAGCGTGTTGCTGCTGTAGCTGCATGAGATGGAGCTAATTTCAACTCCTTTACATAACTGATCATGTTTTCTGTATTGAGCAAATGTACTAAAGTGAAAACGTACCAGCTTTACCCATTGAACTGTATGATTCTGTTTCATGTTCAAACTGCTCAACCTCAGTCTAACATGAAGCCAATGAAGACATGAGTTATGCAACCAAGGCTTGATCATTTAAGCACTGTTTTTTTGGCCTGCAGTAAGAGGATAAAGGCAGCGAAACATGAAAAGAACAACGTTTTCACTATTTTTATGTACAAACATGCCTCACTCTGACTCCCTGGTGCTTTTATGATGGATTCTGTGTATCATTATTGAAATACTGAATCACAGCTGGATCTCTTCTTCTCTGTAAAGTATGTCTCTGCACGCCAGCAGATTGAGCTGACTTTTTCTGTGCCCAGAGGCTTGAGTCATGTGAATCCAGTGAGAGCTACAAGTGAAGGCTTTATCTGAAAGCTCTTGTGCGTTAGCAACACTCCTATCCGAGCCATTCCCATCAGACAGGAGCGTTGCCATGTTGACAGAGCTGCCGTCGTGGCCTTTTGTTCACACATATTTGACCTCGGCACGTCTGGGTCTCGCTGCCGCATCCCCGACCTCATGTCCGCGTTGCAGTTCACCTTCTGTTTGCGAACAAATGAGCGGCATGCCTCGTCGCTTGTGTTTCTCCTTGTGTGCGTGGTGAGTCACTGCTCCCCCGACAGAGATAGCGTGGCTCAGTCTGTCACTGCTCTGTCTGCCCACTAACCCGATTTGGAGGCTGACAGAGACACATGGACGTCCAGGGCAAGAGGTCATGTTGGGACAGGAGCTCTCGAACGCACAGACAGGGCGTTTGTTGCCGTTGGTAACAGCAGAAAGAGGGAGGCTGTTTGTTTCCAGTCACCATGAGTGATTTGATCTCACTTACACAGGAAGTACAGGCCAGATTTCCTGTTTCTCTGTGCTGCCAAATCTCAAATCTACTACTTAGAGCGGTGATAGGTGATGGGCAAACAGTCAAGAGACCTAAAAAATTCTTGTTATGTTATGATAGGATGAGGTTCAAAAGCACACACCTTATGTGAGAGGGTGTGCTACTCTTTGTTTCCATCAGTGGAAAGGACAGCTTTACATTTTTTTTCTCTTATTTGTCTCAAAACGTAAAAAAAACAAACAAACAAACAAAAAAAGTTGCAATGCCAGCGGTGGATTTATCCAAGATTTTCCTATGAGGAAAAACATATTTATAGTTTTGTTTATTGTTCCCAGATGATCAGGGGATATATTTGTGTCCTCTAAAAAACTGGGGCTTTGCAGACGGCAGGTGGGGAGGTGGGTACCGCATTCCAGCTTCACTGTGTGTCAGGTCATCAGTCGCAGGGGGAGAGTTAGCGTGGTCCCTGCAGATGAGGCTGTTTACATGCAGCACACAGCGGGAAACCAGATGGACTTTATATTAGCACTGTCAGAAAAAATGAAAACAGGAAGGCAAACAATAAACAAACATGTCCTGCCTCTGAGAGCGTTAGTTCCAATAGGTAGCCCGACAAATGTTTGATAAATATAGTGTGAAATGAGGTTTGTTTTACCAGTTGTGTCTAGAAAGCTGAAACGTTTTCACTACAGAGTTCAGTTTTTGATTTATGGTTCCAGCAGTGGACTTTCAGTGGTATTTATATGAAGGGTGAAAGCCAAAGTATGCCTTTTTTTTTAAGAATATTTAGTGCAGCATGAGAAAAGCTGAGTCTGGCAAAGGCAGCACGGTGACACATGGCCATATTCTGATATTTAATATGTGTGATATTTACCCTACCAGTCTGGTGATATGTGCCGCCTCACGCTTCCTCAGAAAACACCTCACACTCAATAACCTCACTATTTGTTGTCGACCATATGGCTGCAGATGTATGTTGTCTACCCTGCACACAATGGTTTTATTGTTGCAGATTCAGAAGCCTGTGATTTTCCCTCTTCAAAACCACTTCTACAGATGATTTGAATGCATTGGCATTGCTGGTTTAAAGGGCATACAATCATCAACAATGGGATTATTGCAAAATTATGCCTGTTGCATTATGTACTGCTCATGAAAGCTTCTGCCCGTGTAATATTGGACCTCTGTTATACTAGTAGGATGCATTCTTTGAAAACTAAGAGAGTTAAATTTGGAACAGAGAAGAGATGAAGTTCGAAGGTTAGTGTCTGGTCAGAGCTTAAAATATGTGCAACAAAAACAGCCCAAATATGTGAATAAGCAGAGGAAGAAGAGATTTCTGATGTACTGTGGAGAGTTTTGTAGGCTGGAAGTGATGGCGCCTCCCTGCACATTAATTAGTCTTTGTGGGTTTAGAGTAATTGGGTGACAGATTATAAAAGGGGACAGACGTAATGTTGTGTTCTATAGTAATGGACCAAATCAAATCTGTAATTACAACCAGATGCCCTTTAAACAACTAAGCACAAACACACACACACACACACAAGCCAGCTCACTCTTTTGATTAGTTTTGTTTCTAATATAGGAGGAAGGTTATTTGATATAGTTAAGGAAGAAGTCTTTCCTTTTTAAATGGAACGTTTTATGGTTCCTAACTAAGATCAGTGGGTTTGTCATGAGTCTGTATTTCCCTGAGTGCGTCTCTAGAGGCACAGACTGTCCTCTCGTTCACAATATGCTCCTATATTTCTGTTCTTAAACTGACTCTAAAAGCCTGAAGCCAGTGTAAAGTGCCATCTGTGGTGCTGTGTTTGTACCGCTGCAGAAAAGATGATGATAATGATGCTTTTGATCGTTAATTGTTAGTTGGCAGTGGCACAAATAGTAATATTTAACTGAATTTACAGCAGCTGTAATCATCTTTTTTGTCATAACAACAAAGCAAATAAATGGGCCTGTCATCTTTGCTGTACTTGTTTGGACTCACTGTTGTATTTTTTTTTTAATCTGGTCTTTCACACTCTCATAACATCATTTTGGGCTGCAGCAGGCTGCTATTTTTGGCAAAGTAGTTTTAAAAAT